CAGCATGGCCTGACTAAAGTGATGTATGTTAAATTTGTTGCAAATTACTGGCATGATGGATCTATTGATGACCCATTCTAGCTGTCAGGATGTCTCTATCAGTCTCTCAGTTACGCTTTCTCCTGATGCTCAACACCATCCCCCTCTGACTGCTCCCATCAAACACAGGGTTGCTTCACAGTCCCTGAGAAACTCCAGGTGCAAAGCACAGGGAAACAAAGCATCAGCATCTGCTGTGAACCTGAGGAGCATTGGAAGTCATCTTGCGAGGGATAAAATTTTGGTGGTTTATAGACTTGCATCACTGTACAAGTTTGCATTATCTGGACACCTACAAAAAAGATTTGTTAATAATAGCACTTCAAGATAATTCCTATCTTCATCCAAAATGTTGGAAACACAATTAATTGAGCTCTTGCTTGAAGCACCTCACTCATGTAATAAATGCTCGGAACCAGCACAGTTAGCTTTTTAGCTTTTGCTCTCAGGCAGAGCTGACCCAAAATATCCACAGCAGAAAGTGGGAGAGCAGGAAAGGCAGACAGAGACTACCCAGAATGTTTCCTTCCTACTTCTCCCTTCTCTTCCAATCAGTGGAATATCCATGTTACGCAGCAAGTGACACCACAGCCATGGGAGGGAAGGACAGCAGCCACTTTAGAGCAGGTTGCTGGAAGAATCACAGCTTTCCTGCTACCCAGTGCAGCTGAGACTCTTCCCTTCATGCCCCATGGGAAACAGGGTATGTGTGGGAACCCAGGTCTGACTTTTGTCTTTGCAATGTCGGAATTTGGGACAGGCATGGAAGTCCAATTTAGTGAAACAGAGTGAAACTGATGAAGACCAAATCCTTTCAAGTATTATAGATCATTTCTACTTTCAAACCAATGTCTCTCCTTTGAGTGCTTTCTCCTGGGCAGGTGCAGTAGTAATTACAGAAGTACAGCCCTTACACACATTTTAGCGCAGATAGGCAAAGCCCCTAGTCATGATGATAAACTATATCCCATTCCATAACTACATTTAAGGAACATCTTATGTGAATTTCTTTTAAAGCATTCATATTGTTTGGTTGGTTTTTTGCATTAACTCCACTGTAGCTCTGAGGCTTCCTAAGTTAGTTTTGTTCTTCCTGCTTCCTACTGCTTCTATACCTTTTGTTCTTTCATTCTAACCACAGAGTCAGAATGACTCTGTCTGAATGTCAGAGTCAGAATGTCTGACTGACATCTCTTTCATCTAGTGTTGCAGAGCAATTTTGTGATTTCTTCACATGCAGAGGGAGAGTGCAACTCACTGCAGTTCCTGTATTCTCAACAATTTGCATTCATGGCCCAGGTGTTTCTGCTCTCCTATATTCTCTTGGAACTGAATGTCACCCAAAAAACAAGGATATTCAGGAATGTTGAAATGCAGTGCCCAAACTGGAGACAATCGTGATAGTTAGTGCGGAAGAGAACATTTGCAAAGCTGAAGATGTTCTCAGAACACACAGCTATTAGGGAGGACCATTAGGGAATATGGGGAGTGGAGAAAACTGCTTTATTGCTTTCAGTTGAACTTGTCATTGGAAGACCAATATGGCTATTAAATTTCCAGTTCCACGAACATCTTCAGCATTTTTCATCACGACACATATCTGACCTCTTCTATTTTAAGCTGAGTAATCAAAACCCTAAAGGAAGTAAGAACAGCAAAGAAGCTTGGGCAACTTTATTTTAGAATTGGAATAGTGTCAGACAAGGTTGTGGTTCCTTAGTTCATTTTAATCCCTTTTAACTGTTCATCCATGGCAGACATGAAACACTGACAAGCAAAAAAGACTCTTGAAAAAATTGTGGGCCCTTCAGCAATTATATGTTGATAGAAATAAAAAGAATTTTGCTTAGTTATGTGTAGATTGAATTGAGTCCCAAAATAGTACAATGTCTGTACTTAAATGTTACACTCAAAGTTTCAGGTGAGCCTTAAAACATCTTACAGCATTATAAATCATTATATGTGGTATCCAGATCTACCTTTCCTTCATCATAAATAAACACAAAATAGTCACCTGGATGGTCCAGTGCCTAAAAAAGAGAGCTCAGCTTGGCTCAGCTCATACTCTAGAAGCCATCAGGTGATGTTGAGAAAATAAAGATACGAAAGATAAAAGAAATAATTTTCAAAAGTCTCCAGCACAATTTACTCTTCTCTTGTGGAATTTTTTTTTATTTGAATAAGTCCACCAGCATAGGATCACATTAAGACTCTTTCTTAATAGCAGACTTTCAAATCAGAGCACTCATATGTATTTATCTAAACTTCACATCATCTCAAAAACTGATGAGAGTTTTTGAGACGTGAGAGTCATGGCACTCCTCAACCAGGCTACAGCAAAATGCTGTAACTTGTCACACAGTAGTTAGGAAACACTGGCTGACAGTGAACACTGCACCACATAGAAAGAATCATAGAATTGTAGAAAGGTTTGGATTGGAAAGGACTTTAAAGATTATCTAGTTCCAATACCCCTACCGTGGGGCAAGGATGACATTCACTAAATTAGGCTGGTCAGGGTGCCATCCAGTCTGGCCTTGAAAACCTCCAGGAATGAGACATCCACAGCTTCTCTGGGCAACCTGTTCCCGTGCCTCACTTCCCTCTGGGTAAAGAATTTTTTCCTGATATCTAATCTAAATCTTTTATTTTAAAATCTTTCTCCCTTGTCCACATCTTATCAGCAAGACTGACAGCATTAGCTGCTATGTCCCTGTGCTCTGCTTGTTCCAGGAGGCTTAATTAAATTATTATCTTCAAAGAATTTGTCTGTATCTCACAGAATCACAGAATATACCGAGCTGGAAGGGTCCACAAGGATCACTGAGTCCAACTCCTGGCCCTGCTGTAAGTCTCTTGGTGACACTGGCCAAGAAGATTAAAATATAGCTTTAAGTTGTCAGATAAGGGAGTTGTCCACACCACTCACTACCACTTGTTGGAACATTCTTAGCAGCTATCCCAAGTATGAGGGATATCTTTTGGGAACTAATAACCATAGCATACTCATCACCTTCCACTCCAAGGACAAGGCATGTTTTTATAGCACCATCTTTACTAACATAAACAGAACACTTGTGTGCATACACATTTTAAAGTCTTTGAATATATCTCCCAAAGACTGATCTCCTTTAGGGAAGAAGATGTTGACACAGAATACATGATAGCCATGTTGACTTATGCTACCCTGCAAATACTAAAAGTTCTATAGTAGAGCTGGAGAAATATATGTAAAATTTTATTTCATTACTGTAAAAATTGGAGAACTAATGAACCTAGTGTAGAAAACAGAAACACTTCACAAGTGTTTCTCCTTACCCATGGATCCATTTCCAGTCCAGCTGGTAAAAACACTCAAGTTTGCTCCCTCTTGACTGGAAAATTCATTCCATATGTCTAGGTACACATGCATAGAACATCCAGTGTTCTTGTGATAACATGAGTGACTTGGGGTGGAATTTAACTTCTTCAGGCAAAGGCAGAAATTGGACCAGAAATTTCACTTCCTGGAAAGGTTCTAACCACTAAGCAATTGCTTTGAAAAGCTATATTTCAAAACAAAGTGTGAACTACATCACATTTTAAGAGTGAATCTTGTATCAAACCCATGAAAGGAGTTAAATGACAAAGAATGTCCCTTCTGCTTTGGTGATGCTTGGAACCAAAATGCTCAGTGATGTTGAGATCCACACACAGAATTATAACCCTCAAGACCCAGGGAAATTCATGTTCAAAGACCACAGTGTGTCTGATATAGAAGCACTTACAGTCTTAGAGCAACAACAGAGTGAAGGTTGTTGAGGACAGTTATTTTGAAAGAAAATACCCACAATTCATTTGAATACCTTTGTACATAACCCCCAATTTCTGAAAATTAATAAGATCAAAGCCTAAGGTGATTTGACTTCAGACACTAGTACATTTTTTACTCTAGGCAAAACTATGGTTATCCCCATGGTTTTGTATCCTCTTTCTTTTCTTTCTTTCATCCTTATTTTCTTTCCTCCAATCACTCTTTCAATCCTCCATGCTTTAGCTATTTCTTTCTCTTTTTATTATTTTCTCTTTATTTCTTTCTCTTTTCACCTTTCCTTCTTTTTCTTTTCTCTCTCTGCTCTGCTCTGCTGTGGTGGTAGAGAAAAAATCGTGACTACAGCTTTTCAGCCCAGCTCAGGAAAGATACAAACGTCTGTGGGACTATCACCCTATAACACAAATTCTCTAATTTGTCTTGGAATGGACAGATCTTTAAATGAATACATTTGCAGGCAGTGGAAAGAAACTCTGGAGTAAATACAAAAATATTTTATGAAGATATAAAAAGACAGACAACTATGACATCATACCTTACTGCTTGCTATTCAGAAAGGAAGAAAAGGTTGGGTTTTTTTAGATACTATAACATGGCATATAAATCAAATATGGATATTTTGTTGTATTAGTAAGTTTTTTATTATGTTAATATGTTCCTCAATGTATTGGAGAAATCTATGTCTCTAGCATAATCCAAAAGACATCCAAATATGAAAGCAAATGCTGGCTAAAATGATCCAAATTCCTTAAGCTTATTATAACAGTGATATTTTTTGTCATGTTAGCACCTTTGTATGTTACATTACTAAAAACCAATGAAAATGTGATATGAGAATTACATATGCATATGCACATAGTTAATAATATTCATCAAATTACTAGTTTGAGAAACAACTTTTCCAGCTATAAAATGAGTAAAAATCACAAGGTCATTTCTAACAGGTTGACCTGTCTGAGTAATGCCACTCATCATCTCCTGCAAAAGACTACCTGCAGGTAAACTCCTGAGACCAGATAATACGCCTACAGGAGACTGAAGTACTGAAGGGATATAAAAGTGCTGACAACAATTGTCATTTGCCATCAGTAATTCCAAGGAATTTGGCATTTGGATGAGGACAGCTTTCAGCATAACGTTACTTCCAAGTTGTATGACCACATCTTGAGAGATCCAGGTTAAACCTATTGACCACATCTACGTATCTCTGACCATTAAATTCCACCTCTTGATGCCTGTACACTGGGGAATGTCCTCAATGTTCAGAGAAGCAGGTATGTACCCATGGCTACAGAACGGGGCTGCATAAATAACAGCTTTAAACTATTATGATTAAACCTTTCAAAAGTCTTTCCAAACAGCGATGTAATGATGATCGGATTAACATCCATCATGTAATAATAATAGGTAATGAATAATATATCTTGATTACAGCTCATCTCAGGCCAATTATCACTAAAACAGATATGAACAAAGCAAGCCAGATGGTCTGTTAAAGAATGTCTATAAATATCCCAGCCACGCACCCTCTGGCATAAAGTGCCAAGATCTGCTTCCACTATTCACAGCAGGGAGCACCTTTCTCAGGAAATAATCTTCCTCAGCAATTTGTTGAAACCGAAGTCCTTATTTGAAACCGAAGTCCTTATTTAAAAGATAAAGTACAGCATAAAGGGGAGTTATAAGGAATAAAGTTGGAATAAAATAGAAATGTAAATGCAGGAAAGTCTTGTGGTAGAGCGTCTCTCAAATATGAAGAGTCTGTACCATGTAACCTCTTTGTGACTCTGATGCTGAGCCTCCAAGATAAAATAAACTTCCCACAAAATGGCTCAGTAACAAACAAAAAATGATTGTGTATGAAACCACTCAAGCTATAATGAGACTAATCCAATGTGCAGTGCTTTAAATTGCCAAGAAGTTTGGAATCTTTTTTCTTTGTCTTTCCTGGGGCTTCTCTGTGTTCTGTAACTTCTCTATGCATGGAGAGTATAGTTAGTATTTTCATTTGCTGCCTAAGTAGCAAATTACCCTGTAAACAGCCCACAAGAGCTGGTCTGTAATTGAATTGTAACTGTTGACTTTAGACATTTGGTATATTTGCTGCAAGAAGTAAATTTTCAAAACTTCATCTTGATGCAGTCAGACAAAATGAAAGGTAATATTCTTTATCTGCCACAGATTGCTGCAGATGAACTGCTTTCATATGAGCTTAAATAAGATTTAGTGTATTCCATCCTTCAGCTGGCCACAATTGAAAGTGATCAGGATCAATATAGCTGCCCCTGAATTCAGCCCAGTATTGTGCATTACAATAGAGGAAATGGCTGTATTCAAAATTTTCCTGTGTCAAATTAATTTCCATGTTATCTCCAAATTCAATTAGATGGGAACCCCGTGTAACTAAAAAAGTGTCCGACATCCCTTTGTGACAAATTACGGTGCTTAGTGTGCATATCAAGGTGAAGTGTTGAGCCTTGCTAATCTTCTCACTAATTCTCAATTACCGTAAAATGAAGCCATAAATCACACAGACAGGGGATCGATGGAAATGTTGTTTTCAGGGTGATTGGCAGCCTCCCCAAAGGTTTTCTGTAAGTTGGTTTAAGGTTACCATTCTCTAAGGGGAGGGATGAGGTAGTCTTGCTCAATCTCTATGATATAGGCCCACAGGCCTTTTGGGGATAGTGGGGAGGGACAGCACCAATTTCAGCCCATCAGACATCCAATTTTTCTCCTTTTCATACCTGCTGTAGTAAATGAGAAACAAATTAAATTTCACTCCACTATCTCCACAGAAACCATTTAAATTTTTCATGGAAACTAAATTGTCCCTAGACAAATAGCCCCCTGATTCTATGAAAATATACTGGAGCGCTGGGGACAGAAATAAATTTGTGTCACTCTGGATATGCCATTCTCTGTAATGTCATTCACTGCCGGCCAATAAATGAGTCCCTCCTGGAACACAATGGTAAAGCCTTGTGCTCTGGTGGATTTGCATTGTTCCCCCACTCTGGAGCGGTCTAATATTCTTCCTGTTATTAATTTGCAGCCTAGGTTTTACATTCATGAGGCCAAGATTGAAATGTAAATGAGGCACAAAATAAGTAGTCAGCAGTAGCCCTGGCCGAGCAGCCTGTGTCATAGACTCATGGACTTACATGAAAATAGTTATCACTCAGAGAGATTAGCAGCTCAGAACATCAATCACTGCTGCAAGGAAACAATGAATAAAATTGCCCAGACACGAGGAAGGAAATTACCAGAGCTTTAAAGTGGAAAGGGAATATGTAATACTACTACCTGTTGTTGAAGCACTAAGATGGCTGTAATAAAAGAAGATGGGCTCCTTCTCTCTCTCTCTCTTCCCCTCCCCTTTTCCTGTTGATCGCTGATATTTAAATTGTGCCATTTTTCTCATCTCAATTTATCTACTAAATGAGCTGCAGTTCCTTGGCCAGAGGTATATGATACTTCACATAACACTCAAATGAAACCCAGAGTTTTGAGTCTGAACCAGCTTTAAAATGATGACACCCTATATATCATCCAATCTCTTGGCAAACAAATAGGTATATAAAGCCAGAGTCCTCAGGTTTCAGAGAGGCTCAGAGGATGCTGGACTTCAGACTGGGAGACAAAAGTGATTTTACTCTGCCGTTGTGCTTCTCTAATTCTCAGATGGTACAGAAGTGTGCAGGACACAATGCAAGTGGGGCATTCTCAGGCCAGCTCTTCCTCAACTAACTCTGAGCAACTCTAAGGAGCTTTCCCAGGACCTATCAATAACCAGGATCTGGGGAAGATTCAGCTAATTTTCCTTTACTTCATTAGCTCTGATCACACTCATCAAGAGGGGAAGGGTTGTGGAGCCTCTCTGCCTACTCAAAGCTACCCCAAATTTCTCCTGATGGCTGGAGAATTTTCAGATGCATGCATCCATAGATAAGAGTGGCTGTGCTGACCTTGGTACGCAACTTCCGCTCAGATAAATAATTTCTTAAAATGCACTAGTTCACACCTCTAGTTAGTATAGCATGGTTTCTACGGTGATATTAAATTTATATAACTGAGTGCTCAGAAGCAATACATTTTCTGGACTAATTCTTCACCTTAAATAGAGTATGTTACGTTACCTGTTGGACTTTTTAATGTGTGTGTTCTCCATATTCAGTAAATTCAAACAACTATTCCATCTACCACAGTTAGTTTTGCCTTTATGAGGACATTTGCTTGATTATTACAGTTGGACAGCAAGAACACTTTCTTACAGTGCTCGTTCTTTAGACAACAGAGATATAGCCACATTTTACTAAGAAACTGCCAGTTTTTGGTCTAACATTTCATTCCCCAAAATTTAGATTTTCAACCATTAAAATAGCTTTAAAAGTGTGTCCTAGTAAAATGAATTCAAAGAAAATGCCAAAAAACTCCTAATCCTTCCTATTCTGAGGTAGCTGATAAATGTGGTTGGTCACAAAAGTGACACACACATATGCCTCTGCAGTGGGCAGGAGCATCCATCTGGCTTTCACAAAGATACTGGATTCCTTCTCATGAATTTATCTTCAAAAAATCTGTCTACAGGGAGAATTGTATATCAGGAAATGGTTCAGCCTGGGTATGCTTTCAGTTGCTGTACAATTCTTAAGACTGTTCAAAAAGATATCAAATATGAAACAGTTAAGAATAAAATGTCTCCCTCTTAATGCAACTTGATTTGGGACATAGGATAAATTATTTAAAACTTATTGCCTTAGCTATCACATTCCATGTAACACCTCTCAATTAGGATGTAAATGTTTTTCATGCACAAATGCCACAGGACTCTGAAAACCTGTATGTTTTGATACCAGTTTTTAAAACAGGCAAACTGAGTCTTAGAAAATTGGTTTAGGAAATTGGCAATATCAGTATGACTGGAAACCAAATTTCCATTTTCTGTGCAAAACACTAGATCATGCTGCCTTCAGAAGTCAGCTTTCTATTCCATTCCTTATCAGGAGGAAGAATTAATTGATGTATGTAAGACATCGAAGTAAGCCAGTAGAAAAATTCTGTGTGAATGCATGATATCATGAATATTTCTTATTATATAGACAATGGACATTTTTGTCAAATAATCCCTGGAGAATCAGGACTGAGCTGAACAAAATATTAGCATATCAGAGCTATTGCATATCAGAGAAAGCAACACTTGAAAAGCTACTTTTTTCGCAATAGAGATGCTACTATTTTCATTGCATGTTCATTTTAAAAGCACAATACAGCCACATTATACAAAACAAGTTTTGAACAATAATGTGCAGTAATGTGTTCAGTAACCTTTATTCTGTTTCTTTCTGCAGAAGTTCACTAAAGATAATGCAGACAGATAAGAAAAGGAACTTAAAATTTAAAAGAAGCAAAAGTCAACATAAAATCAGAGTTTCAGCTGTGTATTAAAACGTTCTTTAGAGCGTCTGAGAAATTGATCATGGGTGAGCTTGCAGAAGATACTGAGCCTTAAACTGCTTTGTTCTTTTTTTGCCTAGCTTAAAAAGACAAAGACAGGCCCAACTTGTTACTGGAGCTTTAGAGCCCAGCAGCAGCATGCAATTTGTGGCTAAGGAGCAGGAGCAACACAGCTTACATGGTTCTCACACCAGGCATCAGCTTCTGTTCTCAACCCCCTCCTCTTTTCCTCATGTTGCCATTGTCTTCACTCTTAATGTCTCAGAGTATCTTTTTAATTGCTTATCAAATGGATAGTTATTGTATCATAAAATCTTCAAAGCCATTTCCTAGTCCCATTCAGTTGAGGAGCTGAACTTTTATACAATGATATATCACAATGGATTATGCTAATAAGCTTGTTAATAGCTCTAGCGGTGTTAACTGAGCGCATTAAAACAAACTGGTCCTTGCAATAGATTGGGACATGTTTCATAAGGGGCATGTGATCTGAGAGCGGTCATGACAAGGCTAGTAAATAATAGCAGAAACTGGCATGACCAAAGAAATACTCACCTAAATTATTTATATGTTAATCAAAAATACAGTTGTTAAGCAATATCATTAGTTCATTACTAATTGGTTTATGGATTTGTGATGAATTACTTATTTGCATGCAAAGTAAACCCTCAGCCTTTTGTTCATCATCTCTAACCTTCGAATCTTTGCAGGTTTCCTCTCTGCAGCCCTCCTCCTTCACTAAAATGATTACATCAGCTCGTCAGACAAAGTAGATTTTCAAGGCAAAGACATAATTTTCTTCTGAAATGTGTGCAATATATTATTGTCATATATTTTTTAAAAGTCATAATATATCAAGGTTTCATGCTTAAGAGATATGCAATTAATGCTATACAGTGTATATTTCTCCTTAACCTCCACCAAAAATCCTACACTTTGAACATTTATTAGTAGTGGAGATAGTGATCTTGTTTTGTTCATATATATCAAGTTGGACTGTCAGGCATGATATTGTGAGGAATGTTAAATTTCACTTTACTTATGATCAAATTGGGCTGAATACAACCTAGGGACTTAAGCACACCTCCGTATCTACAGTGGGACATCCTAGAGATGTCCAGGGTGGTCTGAACAAAGGTGAAGATCAACCTTTCCCGTGGCACCTGAATTCATTGGTAAGTTTCTTAATTATAAGGTTTTCAGAACTGCAGTCTCTCATCAAGCACTTCTCGTCCTTTGTTTCCGTCTCTTCTTCATCTTCTTATTGCAGCTCCTTCTTGTCGTCTTCTCTGTTTTTCTGCTTCCATCTCCCTCTGTGTAACATTTTCTCTTCCCAGTTGCCCCCTCCACACAACACGGTGACCTGTGTTCCCAGCTTGCACCCATTTTTTTCTAGCCTCACTACTTCAGACTGAAGGATCTAGACCCAAGAACTATCATTGTATTTATTCCACTTTTGAGGTATTTTCCTTTAAGGAACACTTAAAATTCCTTTCTCCTTTTTGCATTTTCCTTCTCTCTCTTTCCTTTTTTCTTTTTTTTTCCCTTTTCCCTTTTCTCTTTTCCCTTTCCCTTTTTCCTACTCCCTTCCCCTCCCTTCCCTTTCCTTTCCTTTTTCACTTTTCTTTTCAAAACCATGTTAGTGCAAAATCATGCAAACCATGAATATAATTAAATTAAATTAATATTGTACATCAACTTGAAACATTTTCTTTTGAACAAATTTCACTTTTCTTTCACAGAATGCAAATAATAAGAACAATTATTTTATATTTAAAAATATATTTTTCAAGGAGTTGGAGGTAAGTATAAGATTCCCAGAGTTTCTTCACATGTTGTTATTATTAAGATGAAGTTGCAGATATATTAGTGAAAATAGGCCCAGCAAGGACCAACCGTCCAGGATATGAAAGCAAGCTTATGTGAGTAAAAACTCATCCAGGTGAAGGAGAACTCTCTTCCAACCCGTCTCTCTATGTAATGAACATTACATAAAAACCTCAACTCTTGACATGAGGAGAGCAGACTCCAAGCTGCTCAGGGAGTTAGTAAGTAAGATCCCCTGGGAAAATGTTTTTGCAGGTCCTGGGGTCCATCAGTACTGGTCACTTTTCAATCACCTCTTAAGGGCACAGGAGCAGCAATTCCCAAATGTCAGAAGTCAAGTAGGTGAGATAGAAGGCTAGCTTGGCTGAACAGGGATCTTCTCTTGGAAATAAGATGGAAAAAAAGGTGTATGTCCAGTGGAAGCAAGGTCGAGTGACATGAGAAGAATACAGGCATGCTGCTTGCCACTGTAGGGAGAAAATTTGTGCAGCCAAAGCACAGTTGGAGATGAAGCTGGCCAGAAATGTGAGGCGCAATAAAAAGAGTTTTTTCAAATATATTAATGGCAATAGGCAGTATGGAAATATCATCAGCCCATTAAGGATGAGGATGGTCATCTCACAAACAGGGACAGAGACAAGGCAGAGGTATTTAACACTTTCTTTGCCTCTGTCTTCTGCACGGATGACAGACCAAGGGGATATCAGTGCCCTGAGCTGGAGGACCATGACTGTGAGAATGATCAACACCCAGTCAACGCTGAAATTGTATGGTATCTGCTCCTCCAGCTGGATCCAAACAAATCTATGGAGCCTGATGGGATTCATCCAAGAATCCTCAAGGACCTGGCTGATGTAATCGCAAAACTTCTCTCAATGATTTTTGAGCAGTCTTGGGAATCCAGAGAGGTCCCAGCTGACTGGAAGCTGGAAAACGTTGTCCCAGTTTTCAAGAAGGGCAAGAAGCAGGACCCTGGAAACTACAGGCCTGTCAGTCTCACTTCAGTGCCTGGTAAAGTTATGGAGAAGGTTATTCTGAGAAGTGTTGAAAAACACCTGGTGGACAACTCAGTCATCTGTCACTGCCAGCACAGCTTTGTGAGGGGGGAAGTCCTACTTGACAAATCTCATTTCCTTTTACAACAGGGTAACCCACCTGGTTGATTTAGGAAAACCAGCAGATGTAATCTTTTTGAACTTCACCAAAGCTTTTGATACTGTCTCTCACAGTATCCTTCTGAACAAAATGTCCAGCACACAGCTGGGTAACCATGTTACTTGATGGGTGAGCACCTGGCCCACAGGTCAGGCACAAAGAGTTATAGTGAATGGGGTAACATCAGACTGGCGACCTGTCAATAGTGGGGTTCCACAGGGAACATCTTAGGCCCTGTGCTCTTCAACATCTTCATTAATGACTTGGATGCAGGACTAGAAGAACTATTAAATAAGTTTGCTGATGACATTAAATTGGGAGGAGCTCTCAACTCCCTCAAGGGCAGGGAGGCCCTGCAGAGAGACCTTGACAAATTAGAGAGATGGACAATCACCAACTCTACGATGTTTACGAATGGCAAGTGCTGGATTCTGCACCAAATCTCACCTTTCAAACATATCCTGTCGTTGCTTTGCATTTCCCTTACAGAAATCTATCTTCTGAATATCTTGAAAGCCTTTCTATCAGTTGACCTTCTAATATTTTGTCTTTGCAAACACAGAGGTTGTAGTGCATTTTCCATCAGCTGTAGGTTGTTTTTCTTTGCTATTTATCATCCACAATCTGCCTTAGCCCAGCAAGCCATGCATCACAGTCTAATCCAAGCAAGTCTCACAAGGACAATAAAAACCTGACCAAAATGAAAAAGAAAGTGAAAGATAACTCAGAAAAAGACTACCCAAGATAATGAACAACTTTTAATGGTGTGGTAAGGCAAATTTATTATTACTGATAATAATTTATTGTGATGTAATAATGGTAATAATAATAGTAGTAATAATAATAATAATAATAATAGACAATATAAAAGGACGTCGAAAGAGGCACCTGCTTCCCAAATATCTCTTGTCCAAAGAGATGAATGTAGACAAGGTATCAGGAAGTTAAACTTTACATTAACACTGCACTGACTCAAAAGAAACTGAAACCCTGGCCCACCTCTGTGCATGTCTGTTGCTAACTTCAGGACACCTGCAGAAGGTGGCCTAGCAAAGCTCAGGCCACCCAGTGTCCCACCCCGTCTCCAAAACAGTGAACCTTAAGTTTCACTTTCTTTCTTACAGTCATATTACGGATTTGGATTGAGATCTAGCATAGACCTCTACACGGGTCTGCATTCGCATGGGAAGTGTAAGCTGAGTTAAGGATGGAGTCCTGTGGTCTACTCCACAACTGTAGCCAAAGAGCTGAAGCAAATTGCTCAAGCCTGCACAGGAAGTCAGTAACAGAAATAGAAAGTAGCATCCAGTTCAGCCATGCCTTGGTTCGGTATCACATGCAAGTAAATATTGCAAATAACTTTGTACAATTCTGTATCTTTCTGTGGTGGAGGCCTTATGTCAGAAAAGTCCATGTCCAGAAGCCCTCTTTAAATTAATCTTGGATGAACGCAGAAACCATGATTAGGTTCTTTAAACTCCTTATTCCATGCTGAAAGACAAAAAAAGAAAGGATTCCTATTTTTCAAGCAAATTAAGGCTGCAGAAATGTGACAACTGACTATGAAAAATTTCCCACTAGCCTCTCACAGCATGAGAAAGCCAATGCATATATTGAATCTCTTCTTTGCTGCTCATATGTTGCAATCCTGACTTTGTGAAACTACATTTGTGGAAGAGTGGAAGAAAAGAAAATATGTTCTCCATGATCTTTCAGTTCTTAGACCTTTGCTGACAAAAGAAGACTTTGGCAATTATGTTAGTCTCCTTCCTTATACCCAGAAAGCAGATTTTTGTTAGAGCTATTTTAGTAAAGAACTGTTTCTTAAAACCTAAAAAAAATTGTCAAAACACATTATTTTTCACTTAATTTATGGTTCTTTCAGAATAGAATAAGAGATTTAATGCTTTTTCTACAGAAAGACCAAGTCACATCAAAATCATTCCAGCTTGCAACCTGATTAGACTTGGCACCTCACTTTTAGGTAGTTAAAACTAGAGTCATAGAGTCGTAGAATTTTCAAGGCTGGAAAAGGTGTCTAAAGTCATCAGTTCCAACCATTGATACAGCACTGTTGAGTCCACCAATAAACTGTGTCCCAAAGTGCCACATCTACGTATCTTTTGAATACCTCCAGGGATGGTGATTCTACCGCTTCCCTTGACAAACATCTTGGCGAAAAACTTTTTTCCTGATATCCAACCAAAACCTGCTCTGGTGCAACCTGAAGCCATTTCCTCTTGTTCTATTGCTTGCTACTTGGGAGAAAAGACCAAACCCCACTTCACTACAATTTTCTTTCAAGTAGTTGTAGAGAACAAGTTCTCCCCAAGTTCTTCAGGCTAAACAACCCCAGCTCCCTCAGCCACTCCTCATTAGACTTGTGCTTCCGACCCCTTCACCACCTCTGTTGCCCTTCTCTGGACACACTCCAGCACCTCAATGTCTTTCTTGTAGTGAGGGGTCCAAAACTGAACACAGGATTCAAAGTGTGGCCTCACCAGTGCTGAGTACAGAGGGACAATTGCTCCCCTGATCCTGCTGGCCACACTAGTTTGGATACAGACCAGGATGCCATTGGCCTTCTTGGCCACCTGGGCACACTGCTGGCTCATGTAGAGTCGCATGGGGTTGTCATGACTGAAGTGCAGGACATGGCACTTCACTTTAATGAACCTCATACCATTGGCTGCAGTCCATCAATCCAGCCTGTCTAGATGCCTCTGCAGAGATTTCCTACCCTCCAGCAAACCAACACTCGACATGGGGCCATTTGCAAACTGATTGAGGGTGAACTCAT